GTCCCAGGGCAGACAGACGTGCTATAATCCTGTATCACAGGGGTTCTCCTGGGGCTCCTGCTCATTCTTACAATTAATAATTCAATTATCACTTAGTTTGTGGTTTTTTCTTGTACCTTGACAACCAAAAATGGATCCAACACTGCTCCAACAAAGAACGATCCGACTGTGGTGTAGGAAAAGGGTCAAATGTGGCAATAAAATCACAGAATCACAGGATGGTTTGGGTGGGAAGGGACTTTAAAGGATCATCTGATTCCACCCCCTGCCCTGGGCAGGGACACCTCCCACCACACCAGGTTGCTCCAAGCCCCCTCCAACCTGCCCTTGAACCCCTCCAGGGATGGGGCAGCCACAGCTTCTCGGGGCAACCTGGGTCCCAAAATCAGACCTGGGGGCGGGGGGGGCTCTGAAACCCCTTGAGGGCAGTTGTAGGGGAAATGCTGGAGATGTTTCTTATTCTGGGATGATGGAGGAGGACGGGGCTGGACGTGGCCCCAGGGCAAGACTCGGGGCAACCTGGGTCCCAAAATCAGACCTGGGGGCGGGGGGGGCTCTGAAACCCCTTGAGGGCAGTTGTAGGGGAAATGCTGGAGATGTTTCTTATTACATCATGATGGAGGAGGACGGGGCTGGACGTGGCCCCAGGGCAAGAGGCTGGAGAGGGCTGGCAGGGCTCAGCCTTCCCCCCCTCCCAAAACCCAAAACCAAAAACTCGCATAACGAGACATCAGGCTAAAAATAACCCCAGAGCAGCACTCAAAGCCCCCCCTCGGGGAGGGGAAACAGCTTCCCAGGAACAGGGTGGGCGTCTTTCCCGGTAACCTTTCTGCGGGAGGGGGGAGGGGAGGGGGCAGGGGCTGGCAGCAGCATTTTTGGCACGGCGGGAAGCGGCCCCGGTCGCTAAGCATCATCCCTGTCGCCAGGCAACCCCTGGGGATCACGGGAGATGCTGCTCCTGCTTCGTTTGGGGAAGGAAAAGGAAAATCATCCAGAGCCAGAGGAGGCCCCGGAAATGCTGGGAGGGCTGGAGCCCCTCTGCTGGGAGGGGGGGCTGAGAGAGCTGGGGGGGTCAGCCTGGAGAAGAGAAGGCTCCGGGGAGACCTTGGAGCCCCTGCCAGTCCCTCAAGAAGGGGGGCTCCAGGAAAGCTGGGGAGGGACTCTGGCTGAGGGAGGGGAGCCCTAGGAGGAGGGGGAAGGGTTGGACACGGAAAGAGGGGGGATTTAGGCTGGATATTGGGGAGAAATTGTTCAAACTGAGGGTGGTGAGAGCCTGGCCCAGGTTGCCCCGAGAAGCTGTGGCTGCCCCATCCCTGGAGGGGTTCAAGGGCAGGTTGGAGGGGGCTTGGAGCAACCTGGTCTGGTGGGAGGTGTCCATGGCAATGAGTTGAAACTGGATGATCTTTAAAGTTCCTTCCCCCCCAAACCATCACTCTATGATTCTACGGTGTCCACAGCCTGGAAAATCCCTTGGCCACGGTCCCACCAGGCGGTGATGACTTCCCCAGTCAAGAAAACCACCACGCACCAGCTCAGAAGACCCCCCCAGCCCTGCTTCCAAACTCATTTCCCTTTCCAAACTGCCAGCTCCACCACCCAGCCCTCTCCATACACTCAGGAGGGGGGGTTCATTAGCAGGTCCCACACCACCCATTATGCAATCTCTGCAATCCTATAGATGCCATACTGTCCTACTGTCCTTCACAGCCCCCCCTGCACCCCACACTCAGGCTGGGTTTGCAAAATGTGGGAAGTTCACATTTCCCAGGGAAATCCAGCCGAGTTCCGGGGGGGAGGGATGCTAATTGCTGTCGTTTAATTAAGCACTTCATTTTCTTGCTCGTCAATCACCCCACTGCTGCACGGGCTGGCGCAAGAGCGGCTCGTTGCCTAATTGCAAGCTTTTTACCCTCTGCAGAGTTTTCAGCCTTTTTGTCAGAAAGATTTAAGATTTAAAAATTTAAGATTTAAAAATTTAAAATTTAAAACTTAAAGATTTAAAATATCATTTTATATAACAAAATAACCCAAATGACCCTCAGGGGTGCCTTCAACCCTCTGCCCGCCCAACCTGAGCTGCAGACGCACCGGCTCAGGCTGAAAATATGATCTTTATTCCCTTTGGACTTCCCCCAAACTGGGTGATTTCTCCACTTTTTTATCAGTGCGAGGTCCCCAGTTTTTAACCTGGAGTTTTTCTTTTGATCTGGGGCCAGGAGTGGGGGTCCCAGCAGGGGAAAAGGCACCTTGGTTTCACCTCACCCCGTTTTTGCCTGGGGCAGCGATGCTCTGGCTACGGAGCGGAGCCGGCGGAGCATCCTGTGCTGTCTCTGCAAAGGGGAAAAGGTTTGGGAATTTCCCCTCCGTGCTTCAACCTTCCAAGATAAAATGCAAAAAAAAAAAAAACAAACAAAAAAAAGAGAAAAAAATGCCCCGGTTTCTGAGTGGAATTTCCCTGTTTGCTGGAAACGGTCCCGGTAGGGCCCCATGGGGACGGGCCAGACCCTGGCAGCACAGGCAGGTATTTTGCCTCTGGCTCTAGTGGCAGAGGGAGGTGAAGGCAATCCCCCTTCCTCCTCCTCCTCCTCCTCCTCCTCCTCTGCTGTGGGTCAGAGCAGGGAGGGAGCCCCAAACAGCCCCCCTGGAATGGGGGGGGGAAGAGCCTGGCGGGGCCTGGGAAGGGAATAGAGGATTTCATAGAATCACAGGATGGTTTGGGTGGGAAGGGACCTCAAAGCCCCCCCAGTGCCACCCCCTGCCCTGGGCAGGGACACCTCCCACCACACCAGGTTGCTCCAAGCCCCCTCCAACCTGCCCTTGAACCCCTCCAGGGATGGGGCAGGGATGGGGCCAGGGGACAGGCAGAGCTCTCCACACTCATTAATGGGGTGAAAACACCCAAAATGAACCCCTCCAGGGATGGGGCAGCCACAGCGGGCAGGGATGAGGACGGGGGACAGGCAGAGCCCTCCACACCCATTAATGGGGTGAAAACACCCAAAACATCTGTGGAAACCACCTCTGTGGGGCAAGACATCACTCTCCAATTTCCCAGCCTAACGGAGAGGAGTGGACACTTCTAGGCCACGTTTTTCACCTCCTCCCTGGGACGGAATAACTCAAACCTTTAAAATTCTAGGTTTTTTTTCCCCAAACGGAGCTGGGCTCCTGCCTTCAAGCAGCTCTTTGCTCAGAGAAAAGGGGTGCAGGGAGCAGCCTGCCCCAAATCTGCAGCACTTCCTTCCCTCTGCAGCCTCTTTCCGCACACAGCGGCCATCCCAGTTCGCCCCAGCGCAACCAGTTAACCTCCCTTACTGGTGCTTACAGCTGGGGAGAAGCCTTCCCCCCTGGCTTCCTGGGACGTGGCTGCTGGGTTTTTCCCTGCGGGGAAGGGGGAGTTCTGCCGAAAACTAATTTTTTAGCCTTTTTTTTTTTTTTAACACAAAACGTAGCAAACCGCCCCAAAACGAAAAGCCTGAGGGAACCCTGCGAGGTTTCCCCGGGGGCTGATGGGAGTCGTGGCTCCAGCAGCTCCTGTTCCTCTTCCCTCTTTGCAGCCGCTTCCCCAAACAGAGTGGCCTCGGCCGTGATGCCACCGTGGCCACCGTCCCCCCGTGCCCCACGGCCCCTGCCAGAGGGATTCCCACCTCCCCAAGGAGGGAAAAAATTCCCATTTTACCCTCCCTTGGTTCCTTGGGAAAAGGTCTCCCTGGGGTTTCTGAGCTGGGAATCCCAGGTTTTAAAGGCCACCCCCCCACACACACGCCAGGATGCCTCGGTGGAGGGGACGTGGGTGTCACACGGGGGGTCTGTCACCCTCTGCAAGTGGGGACACGAGCAAGGCTTTGCAGGGAAGGTTCCCCTGCTCCGTTCCCCCCCCGGTGAGTAATGACTCTGCCGGGGGAACAAAATGCAAAGTGATTCAGATGCCACTTTCCCAACGCCCCCCCCTCAACGCCTGGAAGAGCCGTGATGGCGAGTGTTCGTAAGAGCTGGGGGTGAAGGTATGGAATGGCGGAGCTTGGGGACAGTGGTGTTTGTGCCCTTGCACACGCTCACGTGCGTGTGTGTGTGTGTCTCACCACCCTCACAGGACAGAATTCCTTCCGAATATCTGTATCTCCCCTTCCCGGGGTGTTGCTGCACCCCCACGAGCCCCGCTGTCACCCCACTTGACGGCAAGGAGGGGTAGGTGATGGATGCCATGGGACACCTCAGCTGGTGTCCCCTCCCCGGCAGAGCTAAGGGCCCCGATGGCCACCTCATCCTGGGTTGGGGACAGTTTTGGGCCCACAGGGGGTGGGCAGCATCACTTTGCCCATGGAAGCCCCCAGGCCACACCACGATCAGGGGGACCTGACCTCTCCCCACCTCCCTGTCCCAACGCTGGTGCCTCCTCCAGTCTGGTCCCACCTTCCCCAGCCACTGGTGTGTCACCAGATCCCTGCCACCTCCCTGGCACAGTCCCAGTGGTCCTTCTCCATCCCTGACCAACCAACCAGCCATCCCCTGGATGTCCCTGTCCCCGTGGACACGGTGGTGGGGTCACCTTTTCCAGCCACGGGGGATGCAGGGTGGATTTCCCCAGCCAGGGCTGGGTTGGGAGGAGCAGCGTGTCCCGAGGAAGTGGGGGGGGGGATCCTCTTCTGGGATGATGATGCATCAAATCCCAGCGGAAAACACACGGAGCTGTTGCATCAGCCCCCGGGGAGGGCTCCCATCTCCAGCTTTTTCTCCCCATGGGCACCGTGCCATACCGGAGGGCACCGACGGGCATGTTCTCCAGCAGGAACCGCCCCACCGTTGGGCAAACATCAGCAGGAGATATGGAAGCCCGGGCACCTCCCGAGGGCCAGCTGCCGGGTGGTGTCCCCAACCTCCCCAGCACCCCAGCCACACGTCCTTCCTCCATCACCCACCCTCCCTTGGCTCTCCCACCTCCCTCCATGGCACCCAAGCGTGTCCCCCCCTTCCCTGGCAAGCGGGCGAGGGTCTCTCACCTTGACGGGAGCCACCTTGGCTTCCCCCTGGCCGGGCCCACTCCTGGCCCCGGTGGTGACAGGGACAGGCGGTGGCGTCGCCGACGGGGAGGGTTGGCCCGTTGGGTGCGTGTCCCGCGGGTTGGTACCGGGTGTAGGGGGGGGGGAAACCACTCCTCCTTCCGGTAAAGGGCTCACCGGGGCCGCCGACACCGGGGAGGAAGAGGAGGCGGCAGGCAGGAGGTGAGGAAGGCCCCCGAGGACCCCCCTCGCTCGCCCACCACGGTCCTTCGGGCGGGTTGGGGCAGGTCTTGGGATCAGCCGGGAATTTGGGCAGGGAGCCCCCAGGCATCCGGCGTTGCGGCTCGTACCTGGGAGGAGCTGGCAAGTTGCCCCCCCCTCAACAAGGACAACGAGTCCCCGTCACAGGGATAACACACACACACACCCCCCCAAAAAAAAAACAAACCCCACAGGTCCCCCCAGCACCGCGGAAGAACCCGAAGCAGGAAGGAGGAGGATGGTGCAAGAGCCGACGTTGGAGGTCACGGGGTGGCCGTCTGGCATCGCCACACCCCCGGGGCACAGCGACACCTCCCAACTTCTGGGGTGCACTTCCCCCCCCCCAGACCCCATAACATTTGACGCTCCTCTGAGGACCCCCACCATGGCTGGGCATTGAGTCCGTCCCACCCAGGCCCCCAGAAGACCTGTCCCCTTTCCCCAGGGCTCTGCCAACATGGTTTGGGGACACCAAGGGGCTGAGAAAGAGGGGAGCAATGGGGTGCCCCCCAACTCCACGGCATGCAGCGGGGTGGCTGCCATTTCGGGGGGGTGGTGGAGGTGGTGGGATGCACCCCCGTGATGAGTGGGAACGGGGAAGTGGTGGGACAAAGCTGGTGGGGCAGCTCCCCAAACCCCAGGGAGGAGCTCGCAGGGTTGTGGGGAGCTGCAGCCCCCCCACCCCAGGGGGGACTCCCCCTATTGCCCCCCAGCAGCTCAGTGGGTCCCTGCCGGGTCACCCCATGGCTGGCTGCACCCCGTCACCCACCCTGCGTGGCAACCCCTGCCTCAGAGGCAGGTTCAGAGGCAGGTCTCACCCCATCTCCTTCCTCTTCCTCTCCAATCCCCTTCCTCCCCAGTTGCCCCCAAATTAACACCCACCCCCCACCACCGTCGAGGGGAGCGACTGGTGCTACACCAGTAACAAACTGGGCACGACCCCTTCCCGCTACAGCCGCTGGAAGACACTCGGAGCATCCCTGCATCCCGGAGTGGGGGGCAGGACCTTCCCTGCACCCCAAAAGATGGCGGGCGGAGAAACCAAGACCTAAAAGCTTCTAGGCAGGAGCAGGACCTTCTTAGGAGCTTCGGATGGTCACGGGTCAACCACTGTCACCCCCTTGCCAGCCCAGCCCGGCCACCAGCGGTACCCGGTGCTGCCTCGGATCTCTCCCACGCAGGCAGAGCGGCGCTGACAGCCTGCGCCCACTCTCCTGCCCGAGAGACTTAAAACGCCTAAATTCCCTCAAAAGGATGGAGCTACCTCCCTGTCCCCCC